GAGGACGCATATGTTGGTGTTCTTGATCGCATTAATGGAGGGTTATTTAATGGTTGATTAATTGGGAGCTCGCTCGAAGTTGGAAATGTAGAGCAGATGGTTGTTATTTCTGAAGCAAAACAGAGTTGGTTCGGTTGGAAGCATCACCATGTTCTGTGCTGGGGATGAACAAGGGCCTGAGCGTCTTCGTCCTGCGCTGTGGTGTGGGGGGGGGATGCTGGGCAGAGCCCCCCTGAGCTGGCACAGCCTTGTCCCTGCCCGTGTCAGGGTCATCAGCCATTGGAATGGGCTGCCCAGGGAGGTGGTTGAGGCACCATCCCTGGAGGTGTTCAAAAGCCGGGTTGATGTAGTGCTGGGAGGTCTGGTTTAGTGATGATGCTCCTTGTTTGTTGTGTGGGTGTCTATTTTTGTCAGTGAGGTTGACGGTTGGACAAGATGATCTTTAAGGTCCCTTCCAACCTAGAAGATTCTGTGATTCTGTGATTCTGTACACACATGTTTGTGTCACATACTGGGAACGGCTTTTTGTCCACATGCAAAATGAAGTGAGTGAACATTGATTTCTGGAGCCATGTCCTTCTTCAAGGCTCTTTTTGATGCTTGATGGAGATGTCCTGTCCCCATCCAAGACATCTGTGGGTGAGGTGGCCATCACCTTGACAAGCTGGTCCTGCTTTCAGCTGGGACAGTTATTTTTCTTTCTAGGGGTGGCTGCTGTTCAGATTTGGTTTGAAAGGGATGTCAGCGATGCATATTGTGTTAGTTGTTGCTAAGTGATGTTTGTACTATTCAGGGACTTTCTTTCAGCTTCCCGGAGAAGCTGAGAAGGAGCATAGAATGAAAATGGAATGGCCAGTGGAATATGTGGGCATGTTTAGTTTGGAGAAGAGGAGGCTGAGGGGAGACCTCATTGCCCTCTACAACTACTTGAAAGGAGGTTGTAGAGAGGCAGGTGTTGGCCTCTTCTCCCAAAGGACGAACGACAAGACCAGAGGAAATGGTCTGAAGTTGGGGCAGGGGAGATTTAGATTAGATATTAGAAAGAACTACTTTCCTGAGAGAGTGGTCAGGCACTGGAACAGCCTGCCCAGGGAGGTGGTGGAGTCACCATCCCTGGAGGGATTTAAGAAACGTATAGACATGGCTCTTCAGGGCATGCTCTAGTGCCCAAGGTTATTGGTTTATGGTGAGGTGTTGAGTGTGGGGTTTAGTTGGTGGGTGCGGTGTTTTTGGTGGGCGTTTGGTGTGGTGTGCCTTGTATTTGGTTGTGTGGTTTTTTTTTTGGTTTTTGGTTTTTTTTTTGTGTTGTGTGGGGTTTTTTTGTTTTTTGGGTTTTTTTTTTGTGGTTGGACTCGATGATCTCAGAGGTCCCTTCCAACCACTAAGATTCTGTGATTCCCTCCCATAGATGTCACACTGGGTATAGAAACGGGGTTTGGCCGGGAGGGGGATTCTCAATCACTGCTCAGGACAGGCTGGGCAACTGATTCACCGGGTGGTGAGAGTGGCTTGTGTTGTATTACTTTAATAATGATGGTAAATATACAATATATTGATATATGTTTCTGTTGTTGTTCTATTAAACTGTCTTTACCTCCACCCATGAGGTTTTTTTCCCCTTCCCTTTCCCCTGTTCCCCCTGCAAGGGGGAGAAGCTCACGGTCCTGGCTGCCGGCCGGGGTTAAACCACGACACTGACGGGTGCTCCCCAGCTCTGCACAGTCTGCCCCTCGCCCTGTATAAAGGCATTCTGGCTGGGTCACTGGGTTTAATGGTTTCCCCTTAGGGCATGTTCCCCTGGTCCATCAGATCAGGGGGGTGCCCTCCAGGCTTCTGTGCTGGTGTTCTTGTGTCCCGGTGAGCGCGGTGGGGAGGTACCAGGTGAACACGGGGGGGGGGGGGCATGTTGTTAGTCTCCTTCTGTGACATTTTTATGGTATTCCTCAGCTCATTTTGCATTCCTGGCTCTTCGTTCTTTCCCTCCTAAACTTCCACCGCTGTCATAAAGCTTTGTAGGTCACCTGCCTTGGAAGAATATTTGCTCTACATATCATTTCTGTTTTGCTGAGAACTTTGACACGTTAATGAACACAAATGATAACTTTGCTGTTGAATGCTTTTCCAGAATTGACCTGCCCTCTCTCCCTCGTGCTCTTCAGAGCACACAGTGTCAGGAGTGTTTCTTCTCTTAATCCCATTACCTCAACCAAAGCTGTGCTGGCCCGACTGTTTGTGAGGCTGAATTTGAACCCGATCAAAGAATAGACCAATGTTAAAAATGAAGTGGTAAAACCCCCCCAAGCCTTGGGTCTGTTCCCTGCAGACATGCAGGGATGTTCCAGCAGCACCGATGCAGGGAAGGGCAGGTTTAACCAGTTCTGCTCTTGAAATGCTTAGGAACTAATTCCCCCTGCTTTGGAGTCATTACTTTCGTAGGAGCCAATGACCATAAACCTTATGACGAGAAAATGAAATTCTGCTCTCAAGTCCATCCTCCTTTTGATGCTTTGTACCAGCTTTTACTTTTTTTATTATTTGGTCTTAATTTATGGGATATTTTTGTTCATTTTTGCTTGTTCTTCCTTCATGGTCACCGTAACAAAGAGCAAATATATTTGGACGTTTGAAAATACAAGATGAAAAAAATCATAGAATCACAGAATAGTTCAGGATGGAAGGGACCTTAAAGACCATCCATTGCCAACCCTGTGCCCTGGGCAGGGACACCTCCCACCAGCCCAGCTTGCTCCAAGCCCCCTCCAACCTGGCCTTGAACCCCTCCAGGGATGGGGCAGCCACAGCTTCTCTGGGCAACCTGGGCCAGGCTCTCACCACCCTCACAGCAGAGAAGTTCTTCCCCACATCTCATCTCCATCTCCCCTCTTTCAGTGTCAAACCTTTCCCCCTTGTCCTATGGCTCCCCTCCCTGATCCAGAGTCCCTCCCCATCTCTCCTGGAGCCCCTTGAGGGACTGGAAGGGGCTCTAAGGTCTCCCCGGAGCCTTCTCTTCTCCAGGCTGAACCCCCCAACTCTCTCAGCCCCCCCTCCCAGCAGAGGGGCTCCAGCCCTCCCAGCATCTCCATGGCCTCCTCTGACTGTGCTCCAACAGGTCCATGTCCTTCTGCTGTTGGTGGCCCCAGAGCTGGAGGCAGCACTAGGGGAGGGTCTCCCCAGAGCAGAGCAGAGGGGCAGAATCCCCCCCCCCTTGCCCTGCTGGCCACGCTGCTGGGGATGCAGCCCAGGGTGTGGGGGGCTTTCTGGGCTGCCAGGTCACGTTGCTGGCTCATGTTGAGCTTCTCATCCACCAACACCCCCAGGTCCTTCTCCTCAGGGCTGCTCTCCAGCCATTCTCTGCCCAGCCTGGATTTGTGCTTGGGATTGCCATGACCCAGGTGCAGGACCTTGCACTTGGCCTGGTTGAACTTCCTGAGGGTGACACAGTCCCACCTCTCCAGCCTGTCCAGGTCCCTCTGGATGGCATCCCTTCCCTCCAGTGCGTTGACCGTGCCACACAGCTTGGTGTCAGCAAACATGCTAAGGGAGCATGTCCCACTGTCTGTGTCTCCGACAAAGATGTTGAACAGCACTGGTCCCAGTACTGACCCCTGAGGAACACCACTCATCACTGGTTTCCACTTGAACATTGAGCCGTTGACCGCAACCCTTTGAGTGTGGCCATCCAGGCAGTTCCTCATCCACCAAGTGGTCCATCCATCAAAACCAACTCTCTCTGATGCAGAGACCAGGATGTTGTGCAGGACAGTGTCAAATGCTTTGCATAAGTCCAGATCTCATACTTCTGAGTTCTTTTCAAGTCTAACACTGATGTTTGTTAAAACAGAGAGAAGTCTTTGCAGGAGGAACCGCGCGCTGGGGGGGGAGTGAGTTGCCCTGAAGGTCAGGATGCCAGCTCCAGCCTCTGTGCTGCTGGTTTTTGCTTTTTGAGCGTATAAGTGTGAAATTGCAACCTTTTACCACGTTGTTCCTTCATGGTTCCTTGATTTTTACTAAACACATTAAGCCACGCTGCTTTATTAATGCCTTGAGAGACCTCACATAATTAAGTGTTTTGTTACTTCGCACATAAATTTCAGTTCTTATTAATGAAAAAGTGAAGAATTACATTACGGAAACATTAATACAAAGCAACTGCTCTTTCATGTTTTGTAAAGGCGCGTTTCTCTCTCAGTGCGAGACAGATAATCTTTTCTTTAGGTATGAGGTTAATCCCTCAGGTTTTCTTTTCTTTTCTTTTTGGTTTTGCATTTAGCTGCAGTTATTCCGCAACCCCCACCACATATGGCATGTGCTGCTGCTGGTGGAATGGAAATGAGAAAAATAGACTGAAGTGCCTGTGAGACACTTTCTGTCCACCAAGGTTCATCTCTGGTGTACATTGATGTGCGTGGGCCTGTCTGGGTGGTGGGAGTGGTGGGAATCGGACCGTGCCCTATGGATTTGGGGGTCTCTGCTTGGGGCTGGTGGTGGCATGGATGTCTGAGAGTGTGTTGAGAAAGAAGCAGCAGTACTAGGGGGAGCTTTAGGATTCATCTGGGGAGTTGGTTTGGTGCAGGATGAATGAATGATGTATTTCAATAGGTCAGGAAATAGCTTTTTTTTTTTCCCTTTGAAACCAGATTCCTGGGATTTCTATGGTTGGGAAAGGTACGTGATACTCTGCATTGTCTGTGAGAATGCAGCTGCAGCAGAAACTGCCACCCTGCGAGACTGAGGAATGCAATAACAGAGAGCGTGTGGGCTGAGAGCAGTGCAGTGACAGGGCCCAGGGAATGCGGGGAAGGGGTTATTGCATTTAAATGTGAATCCTTGTGAAGACCCTGTGCCAGCTCTTCCTTCCACGACGACTCTGATGCATGCACTGATCCATCATGATCTTCACAGCAGCCTCACAGACCTGTGTCTCTTACAGCTCCATCCACTCACTGCGGGGCGGCGGGGGCTGGATGGAGGGTTCTCACCTCTGAAACTTGTTCTTCCAGGTCCCACTCTGCTGCTCACCAGCGACAACATCAAACAGCGACTGGGCTTCGCCGCGCTCGATAGGTACCTGCCCTCCTCATTGCTTACGAGAGAACGCAGAGAGGCACCCTGCTGGGCTGATAAATACCCAGCGTTTGGGAATAAAATCCTGTGTTTGAACATATTTTGTGCTTTCTCATCAAGGTGTTTGAGACACCAGTGTTTCAGAGTATTTGGTTCAAATGTGGGTGGGTTTGTTTTTTTTTTCCCATAGCTGCTTTTCTCACTTGTGAAACGTGGAAGGTGGGGTTGCTCCAAGGGGGTGTTGTGTACTCCTGCTTTGGGCTGCCATGGAAGACTTGCTGACGTTGAGCATTGCTGTGTCCTCTTTCCTCTGTGTATATGTCTAGTGGTATAAATAAGGGAGAAATAAAGAAAGCAGGAGCCTGGGAATGTGTTCAGATAAGGTTCCTAGAGTGGATAAGCAAGAGAACATCCAGTCTCCCCAATTCCAGAAGGACAGGGAACTGCTGGAGAGGGTACAGCAGAGGCTACAAAGATGATGAGGGGCCTGGAGCATCTCTCTGATGAGGAAAGGGACTCCAGTCTTTTTAGTCTGGAGAAGAGAAGGCTGATCAATGCCTATAAATACTTCAAGGGTGGGTGTCAGGAGGATGGGGCCAGGCTTTTTTCAGCAGTGCCCAGGGACAGGAAAAGAGGGAATGGGCACAAACTTGAATATAAGAAGTTCCATCTGAACATGAGGAGGAACTTCTTTGCTGTGAGGGTGGCAGAGCCCTGGCAGAGGCTGCCCAGGGAGGTGGTGGAGTCTCCTTCTCTGGAGATATTCAAACCCACCTGGACACGTTCCTGTGGGACCTGCTCTGGGTGACTCTGGCAGGGGGTTGGACTGGATGATCTCCAGAGGTCCCTTCCAACCCCATATCATTCTGTGATTCTATGAAGAGATGCGGGTCTCTGATACCCTTAAGACTTTGTGCTTGATGTGTAAGATTTCTCTCTATCATCAGGAGCTGTGATATAAAACCATTTGAATTTGGTTTTTTTTTCTTTTAATTTTAATTTTTTTTTTCCTTCTCTGTCCCCAGCACCCACGAGTACCGACTAACCAGCTGGCTGGGCCAGCAGGAGGACATCCACCGCATCGTGCTGTACCAGGCAGACAGCACCCTCACCCCCTGGACCCAGCGCTGCATCCGGCAGGCGGACTGCATCCTCATCGTGGGGCTGGGGGAGCAGGAGCCCACCGTTGGGGAGGTGGGGACATGGCTCCTTCCTGCGCTGCCAGCGTTAACCATGTGCATCTAAGAAGGTTCTTTCACACTCATGAATTTTCCTGGGTTTAATACCCAGGGAAGCATCAGTAATGAAATATTCCTGAGAAAAGCGTATTATAAATAGAAAAAGAATTGAATGAGGATCCTCTGAAGTGGCAAGTTTTATATAGAAGTATTTCCAGCTAAGTTCTTTTCCTCTAAAAAGTCATTCTGGCCAATGGTAAATCAAAAGCCAAATCACTTTGAAGCTTTGCCTTTCTGTCCAGAATTTCTTTGCAGGATGTCCAGATAGAGAGAGAATTTCTTTACTGCCTGGATGAAATTCATGGTGTGTGACTAGGAAAAAATAGATATAAATTATATTTTATGAATAATTTAGTATGTTTTATTACAGATTGTAAGCTGTATTTTTTTTCCCCCTTACTATCTATTTTTATTTTTGATCTTTCATTACCAAAATTGTTTGACCAGGCAGATAAAATCTGCAAGAAATTTAAAAAGGAGGTCACCGGTGGGTTTTTTAGGATTGCGCAGCGCTGAGTCTGACCCCCCAAGAGCCTGGGACTGGCACCATCTGCAGCGTTCCTGTGTGTCACTTTGTGTTGGTTCCTCATGACTGTCTGTGGGAGGCAGGAAGCACAGTAAAAGCCAGTCTCCATCAGTTGCCTAAATCAACCAAAAAAAATAAAAATAAGGAATGCAAGGAGGAAAAAAGGGTCTGATTGGAAGTGAAAGAACAAAACATGCTGAACATTTGTAGGCTGAAGTATTGGCTTGGGCAGCGATCTCATTCTGCATGAACAGCGTGTGTCTGTGCTGTGCATTTAATGGTCTGTGGTTTAGGTAAAAAGCATTCATTTTTAAGTAGTGGGGTTTGAATTCCTTGTCTGATTTTGGAGTTCTGGATGCTATGGAAGCCCACAGCTAACAGAGCAGTTGTCTAAAGCAATCTTGTTTGAGGGTCCTTAGTGTGTCTGGAGATTCAGATGGGATAGGGGTCAGATGTATAGATGTGTGTGTGTGTATATTTATATATCTGTATTTCACAATACATATTTCTGTTAAACTGCTACTGTAGCAGTAAATACCTGACACCCCTATTCCTTTGGTCTGTGCTGCAGCTGGAGAGGATGCTGGAGAACACAGCGGTCCGAGCCCAGAAGCAGCTTATCCTGCTCCATAAGGAGGATGGGCCTCTCCCTTCCCGAACCGTGGAATGGCTCAACATGCGGAGCTGGTGTTCTGCCCATCTTCACCTCCGCTGCCCCCGCAGAGTCTTCTCCAAAAGAAGCCTGCCCAAGCTGGTAAGAGAGTCCTGCTTGGGTGGCTGGTCCCTTTGCTGTACTTTACTTGTAATCCACGTATCAAGGGAAGTCTGACATGATGGTGCTACATGATATTCTGATGTGGAACTGACTGTGACACAGGTAGTGTTCTCTTTAAATTGTTTGACTTCACCTTACTCTAGGAAACAGAGGGATAAGGGGCTTATGTCTCTTTATGGATCATAAAATTACAGAATCACAGAATGGTTTGGGTTGGAAGTTGGAAGAAAAGCCCATCCAGTCCCATCCCCTGCCTGGGCAGGGACACCTCCCTCCAGACCATGTTGCTCCAAGCCCCCTCCAACCTGGCCTTGAACCCCTGTAGGGATGGGGCAGCCACAGCTTCTCTGGGCAACCTGGGCCCTGGCCAGGTCTCACCATCCTCCCAGGAAAGAATTTCTTCCCCAGATCTCATCTCAATCCCTCCTCTTTCAGTTTGAAACCATCAGCCCTCGTCCTATGGCCCCCCTCCCTGATCCAGAGTCCCTCCCCATCTCTCTTGTAGGCTCCCATCAGGTATTGGAAGGCTGTTATAAGGTCTCCCCGGAGCCTTCTCTTCTCCAGGCTGAACCCCCCAACTCTCTCAGCCTGTCCTCCCAGCAGAGGGGCTCCAACCCTCCCAGCATCTCCGTGGCCTCCTCTGGCCCTGCTCCAACAGCTCCATGTCCTTCCTGCACTGAGGACTCCAGAGCTGGACACAGCATATGTGCATGGCTGACGACAGGAAAGACCACCTCAGGGTCATGTTGATAGGTGTCTGTAGGGAGCAGAGGCCTCCTCATTGGGAGTGTCCCCATCCTTGCGAGAACCATGCTAAAGGTGGTGCAGAGGCAGACTTGGGCTGCTTCCCAGTAACTTCAGATCCTTGTCAGGAAAGAAGAATAGCTCCAGAGAAAATACTGTACTATGATGAAATTCTCCCGGCTACTATAAAAGTATGAGGGACTGGTGAGACCTCACCTGGAGTATTGTGTGCAGGTCTGGAGCCCTCAGTACAGGAAAGATAGGGACCTGATGGAATGGGTCCAGAGGAGCCACTAAATGAGCCACTCCACTAAAATGATCAGGGCGTTGGAGCCCCTCTGCTACGAGGACAGGCTGAGGGAACTGGGGTTGTTCAGCCTGGAGAAGAGGAGGCTCTGGGGAGACCTAATAGCAGCCTTCCAGTACCTGAGGGGAGCTACAGGAAGGCTGGGGGGAGACTGTTTAGAAAGGCCTGCAGTGACAGGACGAGGGGCAATGGCTTCAAGCTGGAGGGGAGCAGATTTAGATTGGAGATTAGGAACAAGTTCTTCACTGTGAGGGTGGTGGAGCACTGGAAGAGGTTGCCCAGGGAGGTGGTTGAGGCCCCATCCCTGGAGATATTCAAGGTGGGGCTCGATGAGGCCCTGGGCAACCTGGTCTAGTTGGGAGTGTCCCTGCTGACTGCGGGGGGGTTGGACTAGATGGCCTTTGGAGGTCCCTTCCAGCCTGGGCAATTCTATGACTCTATGATCATTCTATGATTCTATGGTCACTGGGACTGTTTGGATGGTTCATTAACCCTCCTTCCCTTTGACAAGCAGCCATCAGATTTTTAGCAGTGTGTTGTTGGGGTAGGGTAGACTCTGCCCCAGCTTTAGAAGTGACCAACTTCTGCCTCCCTTCTGCAGATCGAGATGTACGAACGCGTCTTCCAGAAGGCCCCGGACCGTCACTCCGACTTTTCTCGCCTGGCCCGTGTCCTGACTGGGAACGCCATCGCGCTGGTGCTGGGGGGCGGAGGAGCCAGGTAGGTGGCCTGTCCTCTGCCAGGTCCTGGGGCACCACGGTCACTTCAGCTTCTATAGCCCAAGCGCTGTAAAGCCAGCGCCCTTCTGTGAGCAGCGTTTTGGGGGAGATGCTGAGGAGTTGCTTTTATTTTTACACAAACTTAACCCACTGTGCGGGTTTGTGCTTGGGTTTCTGCAGAGGGAACACGAGTGTCTGTGACCTCTTGAGACATCTCATCAGTTGAGCTTAATACCAGGAGGTGACCAAGGCACTAAATGTGACTCTTCTTTCTTCTGTTGGCCAACACTATGGATTGTTTTTGGGTTTTTTTTTTCCCCCTATGGATTTTTATATTAGAAAATGGCTCACGATATTTCAAAGGCCCCCAAAGCTCTTCAAAGTTTGAGCAGCAAGAATTATGTCCCCTAATGGGACAATGTTCTCTTCTTCATAATGACCCAAACCCCCAGGTTCCCACACACCTCTGGCAGCCTCACTGTTCAGAAGGATTGTATTTTTGCCGACGTGGGGGCAAGGTGTGTGCTGAACACTCGCTTAGAATTCCATCTGAATTCCTAGTGAGCTTTGGAAATAAATTATTACTGACGTTTTTCTTTGGAAACCCTTTTTACTTTGAGAGTTTTTTGTTGAGACAGACACAGAATTTAGTAGCCCTTTGTTTCAAGAGAGCGCCGTCTCCGTTGTCTTCATCACCGTGTGCTTGAAGCCCTTCTTTAAAACGGTGCTTTGAAATACCACTCTCAAAAATAAAATATATCATTTGCACATCGTCTGTCTGTTTAAATCCAGGGAAATATCACAGTTTTGTCTTTGGGCCAGTGGGTGTATTCGTTAGGGGAAAGGCCAGAGCTGGGGCCAGTGTGTGCTTTGGGGGGTGTATTCGTTAGGGGAAAGGCCAGAGCTCCTTTGTGTCAGCTTGTTGTGATTAGTCCCTTGAGGCTGAGACAGGCAGCGCCGCGGCTCTTCCCTGAGTGTCTGCGAAGGTGCCGTTATCCCGCTGGCTCCACAGAGTCCTCACCTGGGATGGTCTCAGGATTTCAGTTCTGAGAGAAGCACTGTCCTGTGGAGACGCACAGTAAAGCAGAGGAGGGAAACTTCTACTTAATTGGGGGATCTCGAAAGGCTTCTGTCGAATTCAAAGCGGGTGGGATTTTTGTTCGCAGCGATCTGGTGTCTCTGTCTCTGCTACAGCCTGTGTCATGATAAAATATGTGCACTTCGATATTTCTGGCAGCACATTTTGCTCATTCTCTTCCTTTCGTCCTTCTGTAAACACTGCTGTAATTTTTGCCAAACTATTTATTTTATTTTATTTTTTTTTATTCTCCTACTTAATTTGCAAGCTACCGCCTGCTGGTTTTCAGGAGCAGAGGTAAGAGAGAGCAGGATTATTGAGCCTCTTTGTTGGTCCCGTGTCCTCCTCCGCAGCTCTGAACCATGGCACGGCCTCTCTGCTGGCCTCAGGTTTTCTGTCACCGCCCGCTCAGCGATGTCACCTCGTCCCATCAGCCATTAATTTGCTCATTCCTGCTTCTACGCAATATGGAGGACTTTAAGATGATTAAATGGCAGAACAGACAAATACAATAATTTCTTCTTTCTCTGAAACCCTATTCATGTCATGGGCTAAAATGCTTTTTCTGGGGGTTCAGGCTGGCACGTGGATGGTGTGAGCCTTGTGTTTTCAAGGGAGAGGTACAGACTGGTGTTTCTGTAGTTGAATTGTCTTCTAAATTGTGTTTAGATGAAAGGTTTGGATTTCTTAAAACTTCGTTTTCTAAGTGAGACTATAATTAAGACTCTGGGGAAAGGATGAGGTTACTCTGGACTGTGTAAACATCTGCCTTGGGAAGGTTCACGGGTCCAAGTGAGTTCTGAGGTCCCCGTCCCTACCAAGAGGGGAACTTCCAGGGATTATGCACTGGGTGCTTAAAGTCATCCTGTGATTAAAGTCCATTCCAGCTAAAAACATTCTGACGGGTCAGGGACACTTGATCATTAGTGCAGCCTTTGGATAACACACTAAAAACCTCCCACCATGTTGGAGCAGCGTGAATCACCCCCGTCACAACCCGGAGCAAGCCCATAGTTACAGGGTGCTGGCGGTTATTTCTGTTAAAGGCATTGTCTTCTGTGACTCCAGTAATATCAATTATTTAGTTGTTATTTTGGGGGTGTTTTTCTGGCTTCCCAATGACAGTCGGTTTGGGCGGTTTTACCAGAGCAGCTTCCTAGTAATTATCTTTGTGGTTTGTCATGACAAAAAGCTCAGAGGAACTAAAGGTTTTACTTCTCTTGCGAGTACAAAAATACAACAAATTGAAGTGATACGGTTCTAAAATTATAGTGGTTTGCTTTTGTTAAGTGCTTACTTAATTTCAGTCAGAAACATTGTGGAGTTTGAGGGAAGGAAAGAGGATTTGCGTTTAGAGAAATAATACCTTTGAAATGCAGTTGCAAACATAATGACACACCAAATCCTGCAACAAAGGCAGAAACCCTCCCATAAATCGTTCCCATGACCTTTAGCCATCCCACGTACAGCCCACCCTTCGATCGCTGTCTTAGCAAAGCTGTTGGAAAACTAAAATTTATGGGGAGTAAATAATTAACACGGAAGTATCCGGGAATCCCTAGGGCTTTGGGGAAAAAGCGAGTTGTGCTCTTTAAGAAGACCGACTTCACCGAAACTGTGATGACAGGCTTTGTTGTTGATTGGAATGGCATTGTTCTAGGAGTGAGTCTGGTCCAACGTTATGCCTCTTCCACAAAGGCACAATGGGGAAACATGAAGCAGTCGACTGGTTCCCACTTTGTCATTTTGACAGGAACTTGCATTGGCAGTAACACGTGGGATACAAATACGTGATGCCTGTAAGATATGCGTATTGAGAAGGAAAGAGCTATTGTTAAAAGAAGTTACTTGGCCTTTTTTGAGTGCGCTGTTGTTGTGGTTTCGACCTCATCACTCTCTACAACGACTTGAAAGGACACTGTAGAGAGGTTGGTGCTGGTCTCTTCTCACAGGTAATTAATGACAGAACGAGAGGGAACGGCTTCAAGTTCCAACAGGGTTGGTTTAGCCTGAACATTAGGAAAGCATTTTTCCCAGAAAGAGTGGTCGGGCATTGGAATAGGCTGCCCAGGGAGGGGGTTGAGTCACCATCCCTGGATGTGTTTAAGAGCCATCTAGATGTGGTGTTGGGGGATATGGTGATATGGTGATGATCCCAAGGGTCTCTTCCAACCTGAATGATTCTATGATTCTAAATTTACCAAAATCAGATGGCCATCAGAAGATGGCCCTTCCTCCCCCTCGGTGTCCTGCCCCGTCCGTGTGACGTGGTGCACAAGGCTCCACAGCACACCATGCCTTCCCCTTCTCCCCACCACCCTGTCCTTCAGGCAGAGCTTTTAAGCCTTCCCTGAGGAGCTGCTGTCAAAGGGTATTTGTCGATCGGGGCATCTTTTTCTTTTCTCTTTTTCCCATTTAGTTTTCTCCTCAAACCTATTTCATCTCAGCTCTCGATATGTCAAGTAGGTTTTTTTCCCCCCAGCGCTTTCCTGCTGACTCTGGGGATTCGACTCAGACTCAGGCCTTTTCATTTTGGGCAGTTGGCCTGTTTCATCAACCTGTTCTTTCTGCTTTTTCTTCTTTATTTTAAGTTCTGGCCCTCTGAAAAAGGGAGGACAAAAGCAGAAGCAAGGTATGCCTTCCTTGTTATGGAGATACTTGTGTCTGGTGAGCCCACTCATTGCCTCTTCTGTCTGTCCATGCTCCTGAAGCCCATGCCCCGTGCAGGGTGTTGACACACCATGCTTTTAGAGAAGACCTTGGAAAACCAAGGATGCAGGTCTATCCACCACCCCATCGCCTGCTGACAACTGGGGTCTCTGTGCTCCTCAAAGCCTAGCTTCGTCTTCTGTGTGATGGCTTTACCCAACGATGAAAGGACTAGAAGATTGTCCAAGAGGCAGACCTCGTAGTTGTTCTGCTCTCAGAGATCTCATTTGCCTTCTGCACCCCCAGTGTTTGACTCCAAGGCCCATAATTCCATGAAGAATAGAACAAGGAGGCTTTACTCTCGCTGCGTCCATTATGTTTGGCTGCGACTCTGATTTATTGAGGCAAATCTGAGTAAAAAGCTGTTTATCAGCCTTGCTTTCCTTCTCTGCCACCGGAGACTGGTCCCTTGGCACTGCTGTCCATCCAGAGGGCACAAAGACAGAGTTGGTATGTGCTTTGTCTGCACTGGGACAAAGACTTGCAGCTTATGAGTAATTCCTGGCACAGTCGGGTTGGGAAGAACCGCATTGTCCCATTGGAAGGAGCCAAGGACGTACAGCTCCGGTTGTCCTATGTACGTGGGTCACACAAGGAGAAGGCAGGTCATGCCCACACCTGGCTGGGGATGTGGTGGGAGTGTATGTCCATCTCCCAGGGCAGGTAGAAGCAACTCTTAGTTGAAGGCTGGGTCCAACGTGGCACCACGTCGAGAGGTTTCCCAGCTGTCACCGTGCCCCTTTGTGCATCTGAGCAATCGTGGTGGAGAAGGGTTGATGGAAAGCTCCCAACATAACGTAAAGGAAAAACTTGAAACAGTCATTCTGAGAACTTTAGAAGATAGTATTACTTTGCTGAATGTGAGTTTGGCAGGAGGTGAGGAGCCCTTGCGTGTGAACAAACCCTGTAGTGCCTCCCCTGCTCCGTCTTGATTAAAAAGGAATTAAATTTGAATATTGATGACCTGCCCTATCCATGTAAAACACTTCAAAGGGAGTAAATGTGTAAGATACTATATTCCTGCTGTAGTGTCTTTGCACGCTGCTCTCCTCTGGGACAGAGCCTTCTGGGGAGCTCCTGGCTGCTATTAGCAGAGGAAGGGACATGTTGCTGATGCTCCATGGCCTGTAACGCAGTACTTTAATTACAGGCTGAGCAATTAAGCGGTACCAGAGTTGGCATGAGTGCAGAGGCTGAATTTGCAGTATGCTGAT